TGAAAAGGCGGCATATTTTAGCTGGGATGTTGCACATTCCAATAGTTGCGCAGTATTTAGCCCACTGCTCTTTGTCAAATGCAGTCCCACCTTCTACCAAGCTTCCTTCCAATACTGGGACGTTAAATAAGTGAATTTATTCTATCATCCTTGTCGTTGAGTGGTAGCCGTTCGCGAGTTGTGGCATTGCCATTTCCCTTCTTAACATTCACCCAGTGTTCTGTAACGTTAACAGATAATTGGGGATTAATAAAAGCCGGCAGTTTTATCGGTGTGTTAGTTGGGGTTTTGGTTTTCTTGGTAACCTGTTTTACTGGTTTGGTGACAGGCAAATTTGGTTTGTCTGTTGGGACTTTTGAGCTGTTTTTGGGTGGGGCCTGTGGCCTCGCCAATGCCTGAGATGCTCTACACCGTGGGCTGATATACCAAAACCACGGGCAGGGGTGACTCAGCATGAATCCATAGCACTCTTTTGGTACTGTAGTGTCGCAGTGACAGTGGACCCATGTGCTACAGAAATCGCATTCAAAAGCGCAGTCACTGATTCTGACTGGCAATGAGCAGGCGAAACAGTCACTCTTATGAGGTTTCTGCAAGACAGACTGTTTCGACGGAGCCTTGGGACGCCTTTTTCTACTATTCTCAACTAGCCTACTTGTCTTTTTAGGGATAGGATTCGGAGGATTGATGTCTTCCTTCTGCTGTTTGAAAGCTAGTGGTGTTTGCGTTGAGTTATCCGAAGTACGGACACTAGTATGAAGAATGCTTTCACCTGACGGTCGCACGCGACTGAAATTTTCGACTAACTATTAACCTCTGGGTTCATACCTCAACAGGTTTTCCTGGTTGTTATGGTGTAAAATGTGCTAGCAACCTTATTGATAAACATGATACCGGAGAGATTTAGAGTTGAAAGTCGAGATAATTAAAACACGAAATACAGGAAACAGGAATTTAGGAAAGAAGAATTTAGTGGTATATAATATAACTACAAGGAGTAGAATCTGAAAGTACTCCTAAATTGCAACTTTACCTTTGACCGTCCTAGTAAGTAACTTCGCATGTATCCAGTAACTTTTCCACAAGTCCTGTGTTTGTGAGTGAGTAAATGTGTGTATGCTACCGAAGCAACTAAAAAGAAAACAGTTGATCAAGGAAGCTAGACCTACTGCAAAATGGTTCTGACTTGGAATGATTCCGTTTGTCCCAAATTGTACTCAGTGAATGGGGACAACTTTTTTGGCTTTGGGGGTGATAAAATATTCCAAACTATAATCCGAAAATGGATTGTTTCCCGTAAATGGAGGGAAGTCAGAGAGGCCACGTCGAATTCGAAGCGCGTACGTCCCAATCATGACAGTGCCATGATCACTACTTCTTACTGGTGTATGGGCGTGATCATTGTCGACCAGGAGCTGATGACTGCTTAACAAATAGTCTGGGTTTGCGGATTTTCTATCCGTAGTCCATTTTGTGGCCTCGCATACATGTACACTAAGCCCGGAACTTTTATTGGATCGGTAGAGTGACCTATGCAACCAATCTGTGAGAGTTGCATCCTATTTGCTAAGATTTAGAGTATATATGTCAAACCAAAGGTGTGACAGTCGCTGTATTGCCTCGGTCAATTCATCTTCCTGAGCCTTAGAACTTGATGGAGGTCGGTAAATCCCTACAGTAAAAAGTATTTTGCGTCACTTATGTTGAGGTAACACCAACATGATTCTGTCACATTGGTTACTCAAGTGCAGCGTAGTGTTTTGGCTTTGAAATGGCTGTCAATATATGGCCACTCCGCCCCCTGCCTGGTGCACCATATCTCGTAGTAAGTGTTCAGTGCCTTATAAGCTCACCTCATCATTTGTATTATCGAGGGATAGCCACGGCTCACTTAGGATTGTGGTCTCCAGATCCATTCGAGAGCAAATACTCCTAACATCTAACAACCTTCCCCTTAGTACTCTTACGTTTCAATAGAGGCACATGGTTTGGCGCATTAACGGTTGTTCCTCTGCATCAACAGACACAGTCAAATTTTCAAACAAGTTGGCCAGCTCTATAGGAACTGGCAGTTGCAGGTTTTTCACGTGTGTTGTGTGTTCAATCGCGAGATCATTATCTTCGAGTGTTGGGTCGTGGATTGCTGACCAAGGTCGACTGACATTAACGTACGCTTATATTTGCCTCCTCGTTGTTGTCTCGCGGAGCTCGGTCGGTTGTCGCAACAAACAATGAGAGTAGAGAGATCGTATGGACCTAACCTTGGGTCTTCCAATTTCTGAATTCCATAGCCACCAGACGTGCAGACGTCATGTTTTTGAGCCTCGTCCAAGCTACCATTAACCAGATCGAACACGCTATGAACTAGCATACTGGTTTGCCCTTGACGGACTTCTGATGTCCTGGCAGCTGCTTGTACAAACCACGGTCTTCCAATTACTTCTTGAACAACTAAAAACTAGAGCTGGTCTTTACAAAAATAAAAACTGACTGTCATGCCTCCAGTCTATGGCATATGGCCTATTATGTTGCAGCGCTGTGAATACCCTTCAGAAGGTGTACTGGTAGCACACGAGTAATCAGATATTCAGACGTCGCGTCATGTTGGTTTTTTAGGTCACCGGAATGATGCCAGTGCTCGTTTGGCTTCTTCGTGTTACAGGTACGAATATGATTTAAGTTGTCAAATTCTGACCAGCTCCTAATTGGCGAGGTTCTCAGTTTATTATCATTTCTGTGTTCATCTTCAGTGACCGTCACGTTTTTTTATCAGGTACTCAAATGCCCCTATAAATGCTATAAAATAATGAATACCAGCCTCAAAGGCAGTTTACTGTTATGGTTCAGTGTTATAGCATTATCACCCATTTTTTATTTCAGTTTCTAAAGGATTTCAAAGCGAGAGAAAGATTAAGTGCATCTGTATAGCGACGCAGTTTGTGTGTCAAATCGATAATAAGGAAACCGTGATACTATATACATCTAAGAAGACTTTTGTCACGGTAAATTAAGTGAATATGTCTTAATCCAAACTTCAGGGAGTAAGACGTTATAACTAAATTGGTGTGAAAGATATATTCTGAGAGCTTGCACATCATCTATGCAAACTATGTTCGTTACTGGACTATGTGTCTTCAGTCTGTTGAATCAGTTAGGTTTAGGAAATTGAGGAAACGAATACTCTCCAGGGATTTCTTGCATATGTTGGTAAAATTTGATTTCCTTTCCGAAGCAGCGTGATTCTAAGACATTTTGTTCGAGACTTTCGGATTTGTCCGAGAGCACTGGTGTTCATCGGTGCGTTAGAAGTCCTCATTGGGATCACTGTGGCATTTCGTCAAACTTCAACAAAAAACTACATTCTAATACAAAAGTATCACTATCAACAGTGACTTACTTCTGTGAATGATTTTCTTTTTTTAACACATAGAGAGACTACACGCAAGCTGCAGGTAATATAACTGAAAGACAACGAACATTAGGGAGCAAAAACGTAATATTTTGGGACTAGTGTTGTTCAGCTTGTATGTAAATTTTACTATTTGACAGTTTGTATCGCTCTGAAAAATCCTGTTGCAGTAGTATTTCATTTTCTAACACATTGAAGAGTATACGGATATCCAGATCTTGATAAAGCTTTTTCCCAAAACAACCTTATTGTTAATAATACCAAAACCCGGGTGTACCAGAAGTCGGGAATGAAGGAGACCGAACATGTATTTGACGAACGTCTGGAATATCGAGGAGTAAGTGATCTAAACTTGCCAGGTGATACAATAAGGTGCACTGCATATAGAAGGCACAGTGCCTTCAACTTCTGTGTGTACTTTAAAGTTAAAGAGGCAAATACCAACGTCAAATACATACGGAAGGACCATATGGGGTACATATTTACCGCTCCGTCAAGTTATAGATTATTGGTCACGTGTATGAAAACATGGCGAATTGCTATTGTAAAAATAAAATAGTATTTAAATGACGTTTCCAGGGTTCTGACACCATCACTGTTGTTGTATACTGATGATAAAGAAATGTGGGGCAAAGTGAGAAAAAATTGATAAAATAATGCTTCAAATGATCTGCAGAATTCATCAGAATAATTGGGAAATTCTCAGTTCTCGGTAGCTTTTTCACTGCATACTGGTCATCGAGTTCTGTACCTTGATCGAGAAAGTAATGTTGAGACCTTTATTGTTCAGATACACACTGATTTTAGAGTCATTATGAGTTCACATGTAATAACCACTTAAACTCTGCTGTCGACTAGCTACCAAGAACTTCAGAATCACCTGGTCAATACGTCGAACTTTTAACTGGAAGATGTGAAGACTTCCAATACTTTGCGTTTGTTCATCCAGATTCCGGATACTAATAACAAGTGAACATACTTTGTCTAAAGATATGGTGGTATGTCAAGAAAGTCACGAGGAACAAAAACCAGAGAGACGTTCTAAGTATCAAGCCATCGTTTGGCTAGAAAGTGATTTATGTAGACCATTTCTGCTTGTCATACAGAAAATGGAGAAATTAACTTATTTATGGTATCCAGATAGCCTATAATGATCTTGTATATGATAAGTCCTCTCTTTCCTTATCCTTCAGAACAGTTAACTTATTAGGAACTTCCCAGACAGTACACAACCATCAGTGGCTACTGAAATTTTATGGTTATTAGAAGTAACTGAGGCCAACTGAATGAATCTTGTCATCCGGTTTAACTCAGACAATTAAGTCTACCATTCTTTCCAAAAGGAAATTGGAGTATATTTTTCCGTTCATCCACAATAATGATGACTCACAGAGTATTGCAACAGAAATAACATGCACTTAATCGTGTCGCCTTGAGAAAGAAATGTTTTAGGTCGGCAAAAACTTTTCATAATATAAGATTAATCAGTCTGTTCGAATTAGCACCAGATAAGAAGTGATGTCTATCCGCTTGTTATAACTCACTGTCGATTATTGAGTATATTAGGCATAGGTGTTCTTATACTGGACTACGGGTGTTGTTGTACTTAACGGTGGCCTGTTGATTTTCTACTTTACAGCGCGTAATACATCATACTAACGGTGTTTGTGCTCAATGGTTGGTCATGGGTACTTTTAGAACTGTATGATTTGGATGATTATCAAGCATATAGTGAAGGAAAAATAACTGAATCCATTCGCCTGTTTTTTGACTATTTCTTAAATCATGTTATCCACGAAAAATTTTTTAAGACGCAAATTGTTTCTCTTGGGATTATACTTTCTGTTCGTTGTGGCGAAAACTGGATCACGTTATTTCCGCTATGCTGATTCTAATCCTCAAAATTATTATGAACAGTCTCTATCGACAGCCATATCTTTTGAATCACTAGCCGACCAAAATGACCATGGACATAATTGGATGAACAGGAAATTGATGGGAATACAAGTCGTGCGTCCACATCCATCTCTAAACTGTACACCTTTAGCAATCGACAATTTTCCGCGAGACATTTTTACACAGTCCCAAAGGCAGTATGGAGCCGTTATAATCCATCTAGTTGTCTCAATTTATATGTTCATTGGTCTTGCATTGCTTTGTGATGAGTACTTCATACCGTGTTTAGAGAGGATTTGTGAAGGTTTGTTAAATTTCATACTTTCCTCGTATTTTATAGTTTTGCATCTTCAGCCTGATGTTGCTGGTGCAACGTTTATGGCTGCTGGAAGTTCTGCTCCTGAGCTGGCAACTACCTTGGTTGGAGTGTTTATTGCAAAAGTGAGTTATTGAAATTCTTATAGCGATAATTAAGACTTAATTTTCGACCTTTATCCTAATGTTTTCGAAATCCTGTTAATTTGAGATATAACAGTGGAGTGGCTGAATGATCTCTCACTGATAATAGTGTACATTCTGTATAGTTGTATTTATACAACGTCATAGTTTCTGTTTATCATCAGTTAATTATATATTTTTTCTGTACTAAGCGTTCAAATTTAGTTTGTTGAACTTCATTGGTTGATACAAAAAAATTAGACTCTAATGAACGAATGTGTATGTTCTGATTCGTTTGTTGCTAGCGATTATCCACTTCACTTAGAGGTCCTCGTAATGTTAGGATGCTCATTAAAATATTTTAATGTAGAAGTCGAAAGACCAGTCTTTGTTGCCTGCCTGTAAAATTCCTATCCTTTCTATATCCTCAATGCTGTAACGTATTCTTGGACGATAATCTACTTCATTTCTTCAGTCGGCGTTTGACCTATTAAACTTAAATATCAATTTTTATCACGATAAATTTGGATTAGAAGATCTCTCGCGGTAGAGTTGCAGTTAATTTAGCCTTTGACTTATCAATCAACATAACTTTTTATAGTTATTGATTCACTGTAAATTAAAACAGGTAAAATAACTATAAATTAGCAATACATTTCATGAAATACATTACTTATTAAACTTGTTTGATACTTTGACAGACCATTTAAACACTTCAGAAGTACACTCAAACTACGATTCTCCTCACTTTTCTCCTTAGCTACAGTGTTTTTTAAGTTTCAGACTATATAAACTTGAATCAAAATGGAAAATTACGAATACATTCTCCAGAAAAGATATTTTGGTTTATCGATTAGATGTGTTCAGTGTTAACGTATCTCTTATATATTCATTTGCGTCAATAACACCATATTTCTACAGTGTTATAAATGCTAGTTACAATTCTTATCTCTCTTTACACCATCCATCATTTGAGTAGTTTCTTGTGAGTCAGGAGATATAATCGTCTCAGCATAGTTTCTGAGATTAGGGTCTATATGATGAAAATTCGTTTCACTGCTTTTAACTTGTTGGTGATTATAAATTAACAAGTCGTCACTTGATGCATAAATGTAATAATATTCGTTAAATTATAGAAACTGAATTCAAATCATACGTGTAGCTACTAATAATTTCTTTTCGACTCGTGCATATCTGTTGCATTGTTTGATGTTTCCTTGATTATATTTAAGCTAGTTTTGTTGATTTTCTCGTTTTGCATAGTTTTTGTTCTTATAACTATTTCGTTACATCATATATTGTTTGTTTTTAATGTATTGGTCAGTGAATAGTAAGCCTATATCCTTACCTTGTGGAAATACAGAGATTAGGTTAAGCAATACTCTTATATATGTTTTTTTATTTACTTTCAATAGGATGATATCGGTCTTGGAGCTGTTGTTGGCTCTGCTGATTTCAACATAATGTTGGTTGTCAGTGTTAGTGCACTCTTTGCTAAACAGGTAGTGATTTTTTTCTTATTTAACATGTTTTCATCAATCAATCAATCAACCAATAGCAACGTAGAACTTCGTACGTACGTACATCAGTTCATGTTGCCATACCACATTAGCACAGAGATTTAACATGTTTTCATAATTATTTGTTAGTGCGTCTAGTTGATTTCAGTTGTATTATTGATAGAGCGTGTATGAGATTGATGATAAATATTAGATTGAAAGATAATGCATCTGAGTATTACCTTGTTTAATTCAATTATGCCTGGATATATTCCTCAACGAATATTCACCGTGTATAAGAGTATAACTCATGAAGTACTGTCCTCCTTATCATTTATTTTATGGGTTTGAATTATTTTTGTTCCAGGTGTATTGAGTAAAGATAGAGTAGTTACATTTTACTAGTATTTTAACAAGGATTTGTATAACGTTTCCAAATTTTTTATTAGTTAGGTTTCTAATAGATTTGTCTGATAAATTATATTTTGTTATAAGCCAGTCTGTTGTAAAATGTATTGTTTACACCCAGGTTCTGCAACCCCCAATAGGTTAACAAACACTATCATCACGATACTTCTAGTGTGGGGAATATAATGTTTCTATTAACAAAGGTTTGACAAAATTAGGTCTTTACGAAGTGAATTTTCATCAGCTAAGATAGTTGGGACGTGGATTACGTATGCCCAACTACCGCCTAGCTCGACAAGCAGTATCTAGTGTAGTAGTCTGGAAGAAAGCTAAGGGCACCCAAACCTAAACATGTCGGTTATTGGTTTTCGATCACAGGTGTCTTTGAAGCATTGCTCGTATATCGTGGGACACCCGAGTGAGCAACGCTGTTATTAGGAAACGGGTGCTAGGTAAGAATGACAGATCAATAGATGAAGTGCTGAAACTTCATCAGTTGAGATGGTTAGGATATGTACTGCGTATGCCTAACCACAGACTGCCTCGACGAGCTTTGTTTTTGTAGTGTAGGAATAGGTTGGAAGAAAGTTAGGGGCGGCCAAACCGAAGCATGGCAGAAATCCATGAAGTCACTGACAAGTGGACTGAATCATTCTGGTACATGCAGGCTACCTGGTTGGGGTCCACGAGATGATAATAATCGATGGTTAGATACCCTGAATGACATGGCTCAAAACTGCCTGCAATGGCGCAGGTGCATTTGTTCTTTGTGTTCTCTCAAATCCTAATCTTCTGGATTCTTCAACCCCTCTAGTTTTGTCTTTCTAAACTTTTCTCACTGAATCATACTTCTTGAATAATATCTTCTAATCCTAACCTCTCGGATTACTTCTAATACCTTTACTACCTCTTCTACTATTGGATTTGAATTGACAATTATATCTCTGTGCTGATGTGGTATGGCAACATGAACTGATGTACATAAGTACAAAGTTCTACGTTGCATCTGACTGACTGACTGATGAGGAATAAAACACGAACAATTAAGTTATCCTAAAAGTTGGAGTTATTATTACTAATAGTAAGAGTGAAGGATTGCATGGTGGTCATAATGGGAATGATAAATAATTAAAGAGGCAATTATGACTGTAATCAAATAGATTCGTTCTCTCTTGCATAGCCTTATTTATGCTTGTTTGTTGATTCTAATTATACCGATTAGTAATCTAATTACTAATTATTTTTTTGATTTGAATAACCTCACACTCTTTACTCAGAATGATTACTTTTCAATTTAAAAATACGCATTAGTATTGAGCATATTTAATAACCTCTATCTCGTATCCTCTTCATATTAATCTAATTGTTTGTTTCGTTTAAAACATCTATCTATATCAACTTTAATAACTATAGTTTGTTGAACTTTTGTTTAAAATTCTATTCTTCATAAATACAAGCTGTTCACAGCTAGTAAGGAGCCTAAAAATAGGACTGATAGATTTTGCTCTTCAAATCTTCTTTTTATCTAAACTTATCTAGTGATCTAAAATCTATTTATGACCTTAAAAAAAACTTGTGTGAGTCAGCGTTTCAACTATCCTTTTGAGACCATGTTTTTGAGTGATTGGAAGTAAACTAATGAATATATTTTTTTTCATTGATAAAACTAACCATTATTATTGGAATGAAAATTGAAGCACTCAGTCATTCAGTCACCTACAGCGTAGAACTTCGTCCGTACGTACATCAGTTCAAGTTGCCATACCATAATAGCACAGGCAGATGGAATTGTCAATCCAAATCACATAAAAGTAGAGGCAGTGTAGGGAAGGAGAACACAGGTGGGGCAACTGAATTGTATTTCACGAAAATTACAGAGTTACTCAGTAAAATCGGAAAACCATATCGTAAATCGTTAATTTTCAAAATATCAGTTCATCATATCGAACTGAACTGTTCCTGTTGCAAAACATCAATCCATTGTCACTATTCATGCGTTTCATACAAATTTCATTGTGTTCTAACTCTTCCTTTCTTGATCTTCCCCCATCTTCTGCTGCCAGACATTACGTTGACACTCACGTCATATACTACTTATAAGTAGCTCACACCACAGTAGTAGCAATATTCACAGTAATGGAAAATATTAGGGATCGAGCATATGATTCGAGAAGTATTTCCCAGTGAGGTAAATTTACCAAGACAAAGAAAGTCATGGTGAATTCAAAAGATTAGAATATGACAGAAGACGAACAATGGATACGCTTGCGTCATTGCCCACGATTTTGAGCTATGTCATTCAAAGTTTCTGATCATCGGTTACTATCATCTCGCGGACCCCAACCAAGTAGTCTGCACCTACTAGTATGGCTCATTTCAGTTGTCAGTAACTTCATGGATTTGTGTCATGTTTTTGGTTTGGCCGCCCCTATCTTCCTTCCAACCTTCCCTTACATCAGACAACATCGCTCATCGCATATGTAACATATGTCCTAACCACCTGAATTGATGAAAATTCACTATTTCATCAATTAATATGCCATCCTTCCCTTTCCTAACTCTGGCAATTGTTCAAAAACACCTATGATCGAAAACTAGTAACCTGCGAATATCCTCTACTCTTACAGACCATGCTTCACACCCATAGAGTAAGACAAAGCGAACTGCTGCACAGTTAACTCATCCTTTGGTAAAATTAAAGCGCCAAACGCGAGTCACGCATAATCTTAATTTTATTATAACTTGGATCTTACGGAAATAATTATGGTAAACTGACACTTAAGTAGCATAGATGAAGCCTTGTTATTAACAAAAAAAAATTGTTCACATTTACATTATAAACTTTGATTTCTCATATGTATATGAATACCTGCTAACTGCGCAAATTGAAAAACTAGTTTTCCTAGCTTCTCTACTAAGATACTGCTGTCCAGTGACAATCGTATTATTTATCTCATCGATTCTTCTGTACAGAGGAAAAAACAGGTCTCGAAAGAATTGATACTTCAAAATATTCACTTCATTTTCATTAGCTTGTTTATATCCCACTTCCCTTTTGGTTTAATTTAAAACTTAATCAAATGAACACAACTATTTTCTGACTGTACCGCATATCACATTGTAAAATTGATCAACTGCACAATTTGTACATTTTTTTTTAGAAAAAAAATCTTTACTATCATTGAAATGCGTAAACAATATTAAATGTTCAATTGTTTCTTTATTGAGATATTTCTCAATAAAGCTAATAATTTGAATTAAAAAAATAAAGATATTATAATCATCATCAAATCGGTCAATGATTGGATGATTCACTTACTCCTGTTACCCCCAATGGAGCATAGGCCGCCGGCCAGTTTTCTCCAACCAACTCTGTCCTGGGCTTCCCTCTCCAGTTCTGTCCAATTTTCGTTCATTCCTCTGATGTCTTTGTACATTCCTTGGCGTAATGTGTTTCTTGGCCTTCCTCTTTTCCTTTTGCCTTGAGGGTTCCATGTGAGGGCTTGTCTCGTGGCGCAGTTAGGTGCTTGTCGTCAATGTGTGTCCTATCCACTTCCACCGCTTCCTGATTTCCTCCTCAACTGGAATCTGATTTGTTTTCTCGCACAGTAGGTTGTCGTTGATGGTGTCTGGCCAACGGACTCGAAGTATTTTGCGTAGACAACTGATAACAAATACTTGTATCTTCTGGATGATGGCTTTCGTAGTTCTCCAACTTTCCGCTCCATACAGCAGAACTGTCTTGACATTTGTATTGAAAATCCTGATTTTGGTTTTGGTTGAAAGTTGTTTGGAGTTCCAGATATTTTTCAACTGTAGAAATGCAGCCCTTGCTTTGTCAATCCGCGCCCTCACATCTGCATCGGATCCACCTTGATTGTCGATGATGCTGTCCAGATATGTGAACGTGTTAACATCCTCCAAGGCATCATGATATTCTCATTGCCAATTTTTTAATTTTCTAACTATTCCCTTCCCCTGTCCTTGATATCCTTGATATCTCGAACCAAATCGATTTTTTTCCAATTTTAATTATCCTTCTTTTTCTTTTAATTCACAGGTGATTTATCTTAATTGGTGGCCATTAGTGCGTGATTCCGCTGTTTATCTATTATCTATCATATTGTTGGCATTGGTTATTTATGATGAATTAGTCTATTGGTAAGTTAGAGTTTCTTTTTCTTCTTCTATTTATATATCACTAACTGATGTTTTTCTAATGAATTTCTAAAATTGCATTTCATTAATTATGGTGAAGATTAGTGAATACCGTTGTGGGGATAGATCCTATGTTTTTTTCAGATATAAGAGTATATGCATTTGTGTGTGTGCGTGTGCGCTCATGCGGGTACTTGCATGATTTGTCATTGACTTTTGTAATAAATCTTTCTACTGATTTATTTCATTAGAAAATTGCATACAATAAACCTTTGTTTATTTTTTTTTCAATATTGCTTTGCTTGTAAAAAAAAACAAAAATCGGTTGCATTGTTGTAAGTATCACTACTATTCACTGCAATGCAGATTGTCTGATTGTGAGTCAGTCAGTCAGTCAGATGCAACGTAGAACTTCGTACGTAAGTACATCAGTTCATGTTGCCATACCACATCAACACAGAGATATAATTGTCAATTCAAATCCAATAGTAGAAGAGGTAGTAAAGGTATTAGAAGTAATCGGAGAGGTTAGGATTAGAAGATATTATTCAAGAAGTATAATTCAGTGAGAAAAGTTTAGAAAGTCAAAACTAGAGGTGTTGAAGAATTCAGAAGATTAGGAATTGAGAGAATACAAAGAATAAATGCACTGGCGCCATTGCAAACGGTTTTGAGCCATGTCATTCAGGGTGTCTAACCATCGATTATTATCATCTCGCGGACCCCAACCAGGTAGTCGACAACTACCGACATGGCTAAGTCCACTTGTCAATGACTTCATGGATTTCTGCCATGTTTTGGTTTGGCCGTCCCTAGCTTTCTTCCAACCTATTTCTACACTACAAAACATAGCTCATCGAGGCAGTCGGTGGTTAGGCATACGCAGCACATGTCCCAACCACCTCAATTGATGAAGTTTCAGCACTTCATCTATTGATCTGCCATTCTTACCTAGCAACCGTTTCCTAATAACAGCGTTGCTCACTCGGTTGTCCCACGATATACGAGCAATGCTTCAAAGACACCTATGATCGAAAACCCATAACCGACGAATATCTTCTACTCTCACTGGCCATGTTTCACAGCCATAAAGTAAGACGGAGCGACCAGTGCTGCACAGTACACTCGTTCTTTAGTCAGCAAATCTGATTGTGAGTGAATTTTTTACACTACTTTCTCTACCTACACTGGAGCAATTGATCAATTTTACCTTGTGGGAGATACAAAGATTTTATGAATGAAATTAATCGGAATGAATATTGTTTTATAAAAAGAATTTTGATACTGCTCTTGTCTTCTAACGAATTTTTCACTCATTTACATATATAAATATGTATATGTCTGTATCACGTCTAGTAAGTTATTGTTAATATTTAAAACTAAGTTTTGATCACCTTTTATTGGCAAATATATATGTTCATCCCACCTGTTGATGAAGTTCACAGTTAATATGGACATGAAAGTTCTCAATGAATAATATCCGTTGTCTTTTAAAGTGTGACATTATGTATATACATTGGGATGTTGTAGCCGGAAATACAATGCACATATCCTAATGAAGTACACCACAAGTAACAATTTATTTATTCTGGATTATCGATTAACTTTTAGCATGATATTCTGAGCATTGTTCTGTTTAAAAAAGAACTCCATGTTCAAAGTCTCACTCTTTGTGTTCTATGAAATTCTAAGCTTCTGCATTCCTCATAATCTCTACCTTTCTCCTTTTAAATTTATCTTACTGAATTATACTTGAATAATAAATATCTTTAAACCCTTATCTTCTCCATTACTGCTAATACTTCTATTATTACTATCACTGTTGGATTTGAACTGACAGTTGCGACTTCTGTGCTGATGGGGCATGGCGACCTGAAGTGATATACTTACGTACGAAGTTCTGCGTTGTATCTGTCTGTCTGTCTGTCTCTGTCTCACTTAATTTTATTTCCTTTAATATTTCTATTCCGTATTTATTATTATTATTATCATTATTATTATTATTATTTTGAAATAGGTATGAATCAGCAATATTTATTCTTGTCTATGGATTATATGTTTTATTAATGTACTACAATCCACGTATTGATGCATTTTGGCGTGTTTGGTGTCGTGAACATCCAACATTTTGTCCACGTGCAATACATGCAGATGAAGAAGCACAAATTCAACAACAACAACAACATACTGGTGTATTTGGACATTTTGATATTGACAATAAATCATTGCTACCGAATCCAATTTGTCATGAACCATCAACCACAATTAAAACAGGTTATAAACGTTTTGAAGAAGATGATGATCATTTATTTACAGAGAAAACAGGTTGGTTGGTTTACCTCTCTCGATTCTTTTTTATTTTTTTTTCTTCATAAATATTATGATTTTGGGGATAGGGCTTTAAATAATTCACAATTGTAAATAATTTGATTGTGACCAATTTGATCTCGTGTGTTGTTATGGGTATGAGGGCGGATGTCACTTCCCGGCTGCTCACACCGTGGAAGGGTGTTTCTTGAGAAACCTGAAAAGGAAGGTAGATTAACGTTGGTCTTAGAGACTTGGGAGTGTGACCGCAATGCCCAAAGGACAACTGTTTGAGGCTGGTCACGCATGGCCTTTTTATGAGAAGTTTTTAAAGTGTTAGTTCCGTTCTTTTTAAAAGGTCTTATCGCCGGAGATGAAAATCCATGAGGTAAGATGAGGTGTGACATTTTTAGGGTCGACCTTTCTCAACCCCTTCCTTCTTTGTGAGAAGGCAGCATCGCTGCAGATGCTGGTTGTCCGAGGGAAACAGCTTAATGCTGTCACACCCCTCTGCAGTCAGAGGTACGACTTCGCCCTCAGACCTTTAGTAGCCGCTTTTAGTCTCATTGTTCTCCACTCAAAATACATATTATGGTAGAACCTTCAGGAACATATGTTCCAGCCAATATAGCTCGGTTGGATCATCACGATAGGCAAGCCCGACCACCAAGTCAAGGTAGCAGCTATGATCAGGGACTGAGTCATGTTGTTAGATGCAGACTACCTTTCCGCTAGACGATAGTAACGGATGGTTAGAGACCTTGGACGACATGACTCAAAATCATTTGTAATGGCGCAGGTGCATCTACTCGCTGTGTTTTATGAAATTCTAATCTTGTAAATTCATCATCACCTCTTCCTTTCTATTTCTAAACTTATCTCACTGAATCATACTTCTTGAATAATATCTTCGCTCCCTAATCTTCTCCATTACTGCTAATACTTCTACTATCTCTACCACTATGGGATTTGAACTGACAGTTGCGTCTCTGTGCTGATGGGGTATGGCAACCTGAACTTATGTGCTCATGTACGAAGTTCTACTTTGTAACTGACTGACTGACTGACTGAAGGGAGTTAACAACGTACAAAGCACTACTGCCACTACTACTACTACTACTACTACTACTGTAGTGAAGGAGAACACAGGTGAGAGCAACCGAATTGTATTAAATACGAAATTACAGAGTTAATTGGTAAAATAGGAAAACCATATCGTAAATCGTTAATTTGCAAAATATCAATCCATCATTAATCCATCGAACTGGACTGTTCCTGTTGCAAACACAACATCAATCCATTGTCAGACATTTCACTGTTCATGCATTTCATACAAATCCCATTATGTTCCCGCTCTTCCTTTCTTGATCTTCCCTCATCTTCTGCTGCCAGACATTACGTTGACACTCACGCCATATACTACTTATAAGTAGCTCGCACCACACTACTACCAGTTATTGTGAAAAATTAATTATAAATCTAATTTAAAAAGCAGTAGTAAACTTGCCATTAAATCATTCTATTAAAAATGGGTCATTGAACACTAGTTGAACTAGTCAACTGAGACTACTAAAAACAGAAAACTATTTTTATATAATTTTTGACTACTTCACATTGCCTTTATGTTATAACTCTCTGTCTTCCTAATAAAAAAAGTGAAACAATCCTCAGGAGATTTGTGAATAAAGATTTAGTAGCCAATGATGAATTTTCTCTAAAACTATTTTATTTTATAGCTATGAGAAATTTAATCATAAAGCTGTGAAAAATATTAAAACAAACCCTATTCATAAAATTAATAAACTCTACAGTGTTTCATTACTTCTGTCATGAACTATTTTTCATTCATTTAGGCAGATTCTCAGCTTATTATCGGTTAAAAATTGACTTGAAAATAATATGGTCATAGAATAATCAATATTATCTCACTGTAAATATTACAATTTGACTGGTTAGATCCGTTTTTTTTCTTGTTCATTTATTTCCTCAATCCCTCCTAGCTTCTACTAATCAGTGACAATATGCCAAATTTATCCTCTTAATTCAATGATATTGTTAATTATTTTCCAAATTACCTTGTGTCCTACTATATTTTTCTCATTGGATTTTTATAATGAGTAAAAATTCTGTATGATAATTATTATTATTAGAAAGAGAAGCATATTATTGGTTAATTAGTGTTTATTTAAACAAAATAGTCCAATAGTCGATTAGATAAGTTATAATATATATATATATATATATATATATATATATATCTGAAGACTTCTAAGCTTCTATTACTATCCTACATTTGCTGCAATTGACACTGGATGTTTAGTTTCAACAATTTTTACTGTTAGCTAGTTGGAACTGATTGAATTAGGACATTGACAACTGAACTAGCTAAGTGGTAATGAGAAGACTGAGGCAGGCGCAGAAGATTGTATTATTATGCAAATTTACACTCTGAGTCAATTAAAAACAAAAACAGTACATTGAACGAACACTCTATTTGCACACCATCTTTGAGTTGTGACTTCCAACGCTCCATCCTTCTTCTTCCATGCCTGTTGTTGCTTCCTTTACTTCTTGCTTTTACTCCATTTACTTTCCGTTTTCCTCTTCTGACTGTGAGACTTCTTCTTTCACGTCCCTCCTTCTTATACTACTTATATCGTTCGTATAAGTAGCACACATCACAGTAATAATTCATATTATAAGGCTGGATGGATAGAGTTCAAACCTCATCGGGAGTATTCATCCGCTCAGAATCGTAGGTGTATACATTTTCCAACGTGTATAAACTAGTACAAACCTATTTCCTTGGTTTTGTTTTGCTTACTAGCTATTATCATAACATAGCGTACCAATGTGGTGAGTTAGAAAAAATGAGATAAGACTCATTGTATTGTGCCTCCCCACGGAAATCTTCAGTAAAAGGCGAAAGATTTATCCGCTAATGAGGAGACACCAGGTGGTTGGGATATGTGTTAAGAATGCCTAACTACCGACTGCCTCGACGAGCTATGTTTTGTGATGTAGGAGTAGGCTGGAAGAAAGCTAGGGGCGGCCAGACCAAAACATGTGAGAAATCCATGAAGTCATTGACAAGTGGACTGAGTCATGTTGGTAGATGTAGACTACCTGGTTGAGGTCTGTGAGACGAAAGTCACCAATGGTTAGAAACCTTGAACAACATGGCTCAAAATCGTTTACAATGGCTCAAGTGCATCCATTCGTTGTGCTCTCTCAAATCCTAATCTTCTGGAATCGTCAGCACCTCTACCTTTGTCTTTCTAACCTTATCTCACTGAATTATACTTCTTGAATAATATCTTCAAACCCTATTCTTCTTCATTACTATTAATACCTTTACTATCTTTATCACTATGGGATTTGATTTGACATTTGCGTCTGTGTGCTAATGTGGTATGGCAACATGAACTTATGTACATACGTACGAAGTTCTACGTTGCAACTGACTGACTGACTGACCAATGTGATGAAATACGGCTTAATGTATAAAATCTAGGTCAGTATCAAAGACTACACAAACATGACACTAAACTCTTTAGTGGATCAATCAATCCAAACAATTTTTATATTACAAGGCTTTTAGAAAACCAATAAATACAAAGGTGATTTATTCTAATTCAGTACTCTCTACATTTATCTTAATGGTCTATGTAGATGATTCTCTGATTGTCTTCATATCATCTACCAGTGAACATGATATTATCATTCAGTTGAGTAAATGAGAAATAAATCTTTTAGTGTACTTTACATTTTTTTTATTCTTTCGAATTAACCTTACAACTGATATTTATAATAAAAACCAGTCTGTTAATGAATCAGTTCTTCAGACCATCACTTCACTGAATACCAGACAGACACACAGATACAACGCAGAACTTCGTACGTAAGTATATCAGTTCAGGTTGCCATGCCCCATCAGCACAGAGACGCAACTGTCAGTTCAAATCCAAGAGTGATTGCAATAGTAGAAGTATTAGCAATATTGGAGAAGATAAGGTAGCGAAGATATTATTCATGAAGTATAATTCAGTAAGATAAATTTAGAAGGAGAAAGGTAGAGAGTATGAGGAATTCAGTAGGTTAGAATTAGGGAGAATACAAAGAGTGGATGCACCTGCGCCATTGCTAACGATTCTGTGCCATGTCGTTGAAGGTCTCTAACCACCGGTGACTATCGTCTCGCGGACCCCAACCAGGTAGCATACATCTGCTAACATGACTCAGTCCATTTGTCAGTGACTTCATGAATTTGTGCCAGGTTTTAGTTTGGCCGCCCCTAGCTTTCTTCCAATCTACTCCTACACTGCAAAACATAGCTCGTCGCGGCAGTCGGTGGTTAGGAATACGCAACACATGTCCCAACCACCTCAACTGATGAAGTTTCACTACTTCATCTATTGATTTGCCATCCCCACCTAGAACTCGTTTCCTAACGACAGCATTGCTTATACGGTTGTCCCACGGTACATGAGCAATGAGTCGGAGACATCGATGATCGAAGAATAGTAACCTACGGAAGTCCTCTATCCTTAACGGCCATGTTTCGCATCTGTTTAGCAGTACGGAGCAAACTACTGCACAATACACTCGTCCTTTGGTTAGCAAACGGATATCTCGCCTACGTCACAAGTGACGCAGGTCGGCAAAGACCAATCGAGCCTTCTGTATCCGAGCTGAGATTTCGTCAGTCACCAGGTCCGTCAGCACTGATTAGGCTCCCAAGATAAGTGAAGCGGTCTACACGTTCGACTACTTCACTCCCTATCGCTAGTTTAGGTGCCGACGCAACCCAATCTTGAAGCAACATTTTGCATCTCGAGGGTGAGAACCGCATCCCGAACATGCTTGCATTGTTGCTTAGGGTAGTGAGAAGACTCTGTATTTTGTCAGCATCTTCACCAAGTAGGACTGTATCATCAGCCTATTCTAAGTCGATAAGCGAGCCTCCTGATAAAAGGTCTACTCTTGAAAATTCAAACGAAGATATCGTTTGTATATGTATGCACTTCCATCAACTTTTTGTGTTCTTTTTATTTATTCTCGTTAAAAAAATGAGTTCAACATTACTTACGATATTTTCTAACTGTTAAGAAAAAAAACAATCATACTCTCTGTGTTGCCATTTTCTATTTAGAGTATATGGCAGAGAAATTTGAAATTGTTAGCGGCGGTGTAATTGATCAACAACCACGTTGTGATACTAACACCGTTGTCACATTAGATGATGGTGTTGAAACACAAATTCGTTCAGGTGATTCTATTGAATCATGGTATGATACTTGTTTCGCTCCATTGAAATTACCTAGTCGTGAAGGTGTACGCGGTAAAATTCGTTATGCATTCTGTGCATTTTTATGGCCATTACGTGGTGCTTTATGCTTAACCATACCGGATGTACGTAAAACAAGATGGCGACAAATTCCGGCTTCTCATTGGTTATCTTTCTTTATGTCCTGTGTTTGGATTGGTATATTTACAGTGGTCATGATGTGGATGATTACGGTGATTGGTAAGTTTTTAAAACTATTTTTGTTATTTCTCTGGTATATTCATTCTGGTGCATTCATTCTTTGTGTTCTCTCAAATCCTAATCTTCTGAATTTCTCATCACCTTTATCTTTGTCTTTTTAAGTTTATTTCACTAGATTCTACTTCTTGAATAACATCTTCGAACCCTAATCTCTCCGATTACTGCTAATACCTTTACTATCTCTACTACTATGGGATTTTAATTGATAATTACATCTCTATGTTAATGTGCTATGGCAACTTGAATGCTGATGTACGTACGTACGCAGTTCTATGTTGTTGTTGACTGACTGATTGACTGATTCTCTGGTACATCTATTACGATTCCGGTGGATTATAACCAAAGCGTTTTTCTAAGGGGGCAGATGGATATATGCCAATAAATAAATAATGTTTATGCTCTTAGCTTTAAGAGCCCTAGTCGTATTGTCCAGAGAGAAGTAGTAAGACAGAGTGGAAAGCCTGTAACTTATAGATTAAAAGTGAAGTAGAAGCAGTTCACAAATATGTTATTCTACATTCTTTTGAAACGATTTGTACAGTTCTAGTCAATTATTGGAGTTATAAATAACATACATTTCACATAAGACATACTCTTCGTTCCTTTATTAGTATGAGCTGTTTTCACTAAGAAAATACTACTTAGTTGTGTTTTATGCTCAAAAGTTCTTATCAAATGCTACATATTTGCCCTACATTTCATTTCAATGATATTAAGGCTGATAACTCGTCATGAGGTCATCATAGCTTGGGTGCAATGCTTGGTTGGATTATCTATCTGCACTGCTGAGCACAGTGCCAATTTTTTGGACGAAACAGTTACTCAGTGCTTCCTGGTTTCCTATTAATTTACTCATTGAAATCATAAATTGACCACCATTAGAAACCTGGAAGCACTGGATGGCCTTTTCGTCCTGGCATGGGACTCATCAGCTGTGCGCATTCACGACTTCTGCCACTGGCAGGATTCAAACCCAGGACCGGTTCTGCGCGGGAACGCCGGTATCTGACGGTTCTAATGTCTAACTCCGATCAATTCACGGTCTTGCGCAATCTCATACACTGTCTTCGGTAGTTACCATCTACACCCGAGTAGGGTTGAACTCCACTGTTCACGACTGCTCACTAGAATTTGGAAAAGATTCCTCACGGAGCTAGTCACTAGTAAGCACACGTAATTGCATTATGGGAGGTTGTGGAGATGGTTACGTTACTCATTGAAATCATGAGTCGATCAATGTTAAAGACCAATCATTAGAAGAAGTTTGTAATGTGAACAAATATTTTTTTCAATGCAAATTAACAACAATTCAAATGAATCTTCTTATCATTATCATAATTGTCACTATCAATTTATTAATTTGGTCGATATTTAACGACAAAATTATCTCAAACTTAATGGATAGATAGATAGAGATAGAGAGAGAGATGGGACAGTCTCACAGTGGAACAAACTAACTACTTCATAACAGAGTGTATCATTCATATTATATCGTTAGGATAATTATAGAAATAAAATTTAATCAATGAAATCTGTAATGAATGCATTATAAGCTATATTGTACAATATAGGTGATAGGAGGTACATGCGGAAAATAGATCAGTCTGTGTGTGTATGTATGTGTATGTACGTATGTATGTACGTATGTTTATGTGTCTAGGTAGTATCAATTTTAAAACTGGGCATGGCAATATAAGGTGATTGGAGGCTGGTGAGAAATAATGATTATTATATTTATTTTTGTAAGAAGGAACAAACGATAAAGTTGAGAATAAGAAGTGATTTTCTTTTGTCCAAATAAATTTCTCCCAAAATGGGTAATATTGTTTTTATTCGTGTAGAGTGTCTCAAGTAAAACAAAAATATATAAATGGGTGTTTCTTGTTGGATAGACTTGTTTTTGTTTGTATTTTGAAAAATTGAGTCTTAGCTGTGGTAGGATTATTATATTTCAAGTAAATAAATTATTTTATACAGTAATAAAACTTACCAGGTTAATGTGTAACGATTCGAGTAGTCAGCTGAACTTTTTCATATACAAGTTGGAGCCACATCCACATAATGAATTGTTGAATATCCTTAGTGATATATATTGAAATCGATTGTAGGAGCACTGATATATGCTAGTTCTTTACAGGTTTGGTAGATTGATTGTTATTAATACTGCTGACTTCCTGACCACTTCATAGACGTCTGTGCCCTTCAATGCTTGTACCACTCCCAAATGCGATTGATATGGCCGAAACGCTCTCACCTAACCATGCGCATATAACCACTTCCATGCAAGTCTTACTCATTTATTTGTCGCGTTGGTGTTGCTTACGAAATCGCAAGGATGAAAAGCGAATATCTAACGCTTAAATCAGGATGGTGCGTACAGGGGAATTGGAAAACCCTCATTCTAAATCTATGATCCATATGGCTCCAGGGTCCTAAGGGAACAAATGACATATGAGGGTATCGTTGGTTATCGGCTACCACACAATTCTAGACTATGCATCAAAGGCTTGGGGAGTGGGGCCCCCTGAGAAAATAACCTGACTCTGGGCACTTGGAGAGTACCACAGATCGATTGATTTGTGTGGCTCGTACGTATTTTAGTGTCCTATTGTATCAATGTTTGAGCATGCTTTGACCTATACGGAATTTGTCAGATGGATGTTATTTCACACCTATCTCTAGTGTGCTGATGTTGAAACTGAGATTCAAACCCAGTAACCTTGACTGCAAACACTAACTACATTTACTGAGCTATCAAGTTTGTACAGACAGACATTGTAAATTGTTCAATGGTTATAAATTTTTATGAGTTTAAAGGGTTGGGTCTTCTCGTTTTTGATGTATTCATTCAAAATTGTAACTTATCAGTCTCAATTCGTACTTATGCATACCGAACCGCTGTTTAACACATAAAAAGTCTTACTCACTTAACTCAATATATCATTTTTCTAATGACCAATAGCTTCATTGACTAATTAGTAAGCTTTTTTTATTGACTAACAACAATGTATGCATGTTTGGGATACCCTTTGAAATGAAAAATGTTGTTTTAGGATTGGCTTGCATCAGCACCTGAAATAATGATCCACTTCACGTATCTTGGGTGTCTTATCAGTGCTGATGGCCTAGTGTATGACCAAATCTCAGCACGGATACGGAATTTTAGACTAGCTTTTACCAACTTGCGTCACTTAAGGTGTAGGCGAGATAACCGTCTACTAACTAAAGGACGGGTTTACTGTGCAGTAGTTCGCTTCGTCCTACTACATTAAAGCGAAACATGACAGGTAAGAATTGAGGATATTCGTAGGTTATTAGTATTCGATCGTAGATATCTTCGAAGCATTGCTTGTGTATCTTTGAACAACCGAATAAAAAATCCTGTCGTTAGGAAACAAATACTAGGTAGGGATGGTAAATTAATAGATGAAGTATTGAAACTTCATTAGTTGAGGTGTTTGAGGCATGTGTAACATAGGCATAACGACCGACTGCCTCGATGAGCTATGTTTTGTGGTATAGGGGTTGGTTGGACGGAAGCTAGTGGTGGCCAAACGAAAACATGACAATATCCATGAAGGTACTGACAGGTGGACTGAGGCATGTTAGTAGGTGTAGACTAACAGGTCGTAGTCCGTGAAGCAATAGTAACCGACGATTAAAGACCCTGAGTGACATTGGTCAAAAGCGTATAAAATGGCGCAAGTGCATCCAACTGTTGTCTTCCCTCAGGACTTCATGAGCTCTGGACCTTTTACTTATCTCTTTCTGAATTTATTTCACTGGATTTTACTTCTTGAACAACATCTTCGAACCCTAATCTTTTCAACAACCACTAATACCTCGATTACCTCTACTGCTATGGGAATTTACTTGACAATTACATCTATGTGTAGCTAATGTGGTTTGGCAACGTGAACTGATGTACATACGTACGATGTTCTACGTTGTAGCTGACTGACTGATTGAGTAAGAGAATTAGTTTTCATCATCAGAAATCAGTCAACCTAATTCTACTCTGTGTAACTAATTAAATCGCATAAGAATACTAGTGAATGGATCGGTGTCGTTTCGATAAAAATACTGGAATTTCAATGATATTAGGTCATAGGTTTAGAATTATTAATTTTCTGTTGATGATGAAGTTTTCTGATAAGGTACGATAATGTTGAATTTGATTTTTACAGCATTGGATTTCACCTCACAGAAGGACATTGGAAATATGTTATTCAAAGCGTTGAAACAAGTAGTCTGTACTTGGCTACAAGTTTATACAAGTATGAATCTGTTAAGTGGTTGGATATAGTTGGCATCCCGACCATAGTTGCTACCTTGACTTAGTGGTCGGGCATGCCTATCGTGATGACCTAACGGTGCTATATTAGCTGCAACATATAGTCCTGTAGGTTCGACCATACCAGGCAGGTCGACTGGAGAGCGATGAGACTAAAATCAGCTACTCAAGGTCTGAGGGCGAGTAGTAAAGTGTTTCCCTCAGACAACTAGCATCTGAAGCGTTGTTGCCTTCTCACAAGGAAGGAAGGCTTAGAAAAGGTCACGCCTCATTTTACCTCACGGATTTCCGTCTCCGGAGGTAAGGATATAGAGTTAGCAATAAACTTTGAATTTCGACTTCGTGTTGATTAGTACTTAAGATTTTGACGTAACTGATGTAGGAGGCCATTCACTGCCTAAACTTCCACACAAATCGAGACTCCAAATCAATATTGATGAAAACCCCCTTAAATAAATCATTGTGTAACATAAAATTTCAATTTCTTTTTTTAGTGCATTTTCAAGAGTTCAAGTTATATAAAAACCATTTTGATTGTTAGATAATTTTCATCCTTCCATTTCTGCATGAGTGATGTACCCATACACTATACAGTGAAACCATTAAGTTTATCAATTAAGTACTGTAATATAGTTCATTGTGACGCGTTACATAACTTAAAGTTCAGTATTAATATCGGTATTTC